AGATCCTGTTGAATCTGAGAATCGAGTTTGAATACTAATCAGAGTTTGTAATCAGAAATTGTATGAAAGATTGAACACCGATGTAAATAAGATCTTGATTCAGCTCAATATTACGCTTTAGGTTTACAGAGTACAAAAGTAGACAAGACTATAGAAACCTTATCTAACTCTAGTAAAGACTCCTATTTATAGGAGAGTAAAAGTGTACAACAAATATACTAAGGACTAGACATCAAAGCTTCGAATAATATGCTTTAGTAAAATAGATAACAAAACATATGAAGACTACATATTAGACTTCGACTCTTTACAACCAAACTACCCTTACATTCTCCCCCTTTGTAAACAGAGTTGAAAACTTTAGTTTGTAAGTAGTTGAATGGAGTACAACATAACTCTTTGTATCTCGGTATACCAAGAGATAATCTTCTTCAATTCCTTCTTGTCACCTTCATTATTCTTTTTGCAATGATTCATATGAACAATCAAGTTCGTATATTGTGAAGTAAAATATCTTTCAACTTCACTTGCCTGGAACAAAAATATCTTTGATTTTAATAACTTGTCCTTCCTAGAGAAGACTAAGCCAAAAGGCTTCAACCATATTTCACCATCTGCATATTTCTTCAACTCTGCTTGAGTCTTCGAAGGAGCCATTGGTGCTGTAATTCCCAGACCTTTAGCTGCAGCTAACTCCACATCAATCATTGCCAAACATTCATAATAATTTTCGATAAAAATCTTGATGTGAGTAACTCCCAGCTTCTACTCATCAGACTCTGTGTTTTGTAGATATGAAAATGATATTTCCTTCAGCAGTAATGCAACTTGTATAAGATCATACAAGTTCATCAAAGGAAAGTTTGTTATTGTAAACTCACACATATTGCCATTTGCCCTGGTCACAATATATTTCATGTTTTGGACTGTGTTTTCGAAAAATACATCCTTCTTTATACTTATGACCTTTTTAATCTTGGCTATGGACCATACATCTTCTGCAGGCTTGGCAGGACCGCATGAAATCTTATCTTCATTTATGTACCTTCATCCTTCTCCTTGAATTTACTTTCTGCTTTAAATTGAGGCATTATGAACATCATTTCGTTAATTGGAAAGTCCAATTGGCTTGCATCCGTATTCGTGACAATATAAATCTGTTTAGGCTTCTTCTCAAACGAATACATGTGATTGAATGCAACCTTGGCTTCAATTGTTTCGTAATTGTAGTTCTTTGATGGATCACCCTTGTTCATGCCAGGAGGATCATTGGCCCTTTGAGTCATGATGCTTTGAATCATCCTCATCTTCTCTACTTCTGCTTCAGCCTCTGCCTTCTTCTTTTCTTTAGATTTTTTGAATAGTATTGACTTTCCCCTTGCCTTCGAACCAGATTCCTTTATCACTTCTCTTGCTTTCATATCACTTCTACCAGTGTTAATAGATTTGCCAATCACAATTCCTTTCGAAATTGGTCTTGTAATTAGCACATATGTAACTATTGTTGAAGTGATAGGACCAGAAGTTGCAATCACTGGTTTTGATGTTGGGATTTTAGAAGGAAACACCTTTCCCATTACCTTTGCATCTTCGCCACTAGCCTTCGAACCTTCAGTTCATGTGCTAGCAGGTAGGGCATCCATTGTAGGAAGAAGGCTAGATATTCTAGAAAGAGGAGCCAACTGTTGAAGAAGTAAGGCTTCGAATTGAGAAAATTTGTTGATAAGATCTTCAGAGGAGAGCAAAGAAGACGAAGCAGGTGCAGAAGATAAAGTTTTAAGCTCCTTTAGCAATGGGAAAACCTCCATGAAATTTTTGTTCTTAGTTGTAGAAAGTTGAGCAATTTGAGGACTCAAACTTTCGTACAACTTTGCAAATTTAGTAACTGCATCACATATGATATCCACCTTTTGATCCAGAGATGAAAATTCAGTATGAACATTTGCAATCTCTTTCACCATATCTTGTCTCATTTCTTCGAGTTTATAATTCACGTCTTCTCTCACCTTATTCACATCCTAAATACACAAAATATGTCTCTCCTTCGTAACCGACTTTAACTCCTTCAGATCACCTTCAAATGTAGATTTTTGAGCATTGACCCTCATCTCATTATTCTTATCACAAAGAACAATTTTCTCTAGAAGACGAGACTTCGAATCCTTCATCATTCCAGACACTTTCGAAGAAAGCCTCCCTTCAACCATCTTTAGCATACCATCCACTTCAAGACTGGTTACTGAATTACCTCCTACAAGATCAGCCTGAGACTGAAGAATTGAATTGAGTTTTGTATTTAATATCTTGAATTGTTTTATTGTCATAAGCATGTGATCTGGGAAGTCAGTCTCTTCTTCATCAAACTCTAGATTTTCAAAGGTTCTGCCAAAACCTTCAGACTCACGTTCAGTTTCCATAAAAGAAGAATCTTTTATTGGTGAAGTGGTGGTAGGTGGATCAGTGGATTGTGAAGAAAAAAGAGATGTAAATGGTTATTTGATGATGTTTTCAAAGGTAGGAGAATATGTTGTGGATGTAGTAGGAATGATAGGTGTAAGTTGTGAAGGTAAAGAAACAATTGTATCTGGGGTAACACCTGAAGATTTACCTTTGTCTACAACGTGCGAAGCATCCTCACCCATTATGACACTTGCATCCATATTAGATATGTTTACAAAAAATGTCAGAAGTTTGTGCCTCCACAAAAACTATATTGGCAATCGAAACTGCGGGTGGTATTACATCAGTTGATGCAATATGTGTCACACCCCAAAACCAGAATGGCGGAAACGTTAGGAGGCGGATGACTTCATGTGGTAACGTAACAAATGAATACATAGTAAAGAAAGCAATACAACCATCATATATATAATTGAAAGTTTACATTGTTTAAAAGCGTACATGTTCAAAACCAATTACAATATGATGTCAAAATATGAATTTAAACTAGTGCCGCAGCGTTCCTTCTTCAAAAGTTGTTTAGTACTTGTAATTACTGAGTCCCTGGGACATACAAGTAGTTTTGACAGAGTAGATCAGCATTTAATCTGGTGAGTTTCATAAGCATTTAATGATAGTATTTGTATGAAAATGAAATGGTTCGTTTGTGTTCGTTAGTCTCTAGAAAATCCCATATTTCCTACTGGTATAAATGTAGCCTTAAATCAAGACCAATATATGTTAAAAAGTTGATGTTTTTCCATCTATGAGTAGTGGTTAGAAGTTCCAAACTTGTATCACAATTGGTTTTTTCATGCATAAAATAAATGAACTTATGTAAGTATAAAACTTCCATTATATCTGAAAACCTCCGTAAATCAATGTGTTTTTAATACTCTATGTGAGTTTTATAACCATGCTATTGACAAGGAATGCCTATAGACAACGTTCTTCAGGCGTTGGAATGTTCTGACGTTTGTCACCCCAAATGGTGTTTTGTAGCAAACAGTCAGGGCGCGGGGTTGTCAAACCCGTATAGATCTATACATAAACACCATGCTCCCCCTCCAAGGGATTCTGGTATATAATACAGGACTTGAAATTTGTACTCGTGCGTACGTGAAGTTTAATGTCTCACAAAACTTAGTATAAAACAGATTTACGTATGAAAATGTTCATTTGTTATTGTATATGAAAGTAGCTTCTTGAAATAGTATTTCCATGTATATAAAAGTTCGTAGTATTCTCGTAAAACTATACCTATTATAGTTTCCTAAAAGTGTGTTTCGTTTGTATAATAAACCCTTAGTGAAAATGTTCACTTGTTATGAAAAGTGTAGTTTTTGTAGTGCCAAAATCGACACACATAGATATAGTATAAGCAAAGTGTCTGATTTATATAAATACATAAATCATTTCTCATTTCAAAAGGTAAAACGTTGTCGTGGTATAATTTGCATATGAAAATTTCCCTATAATAGTTATAAATCACACAATAATAATCGAGTGTTTTACTTGTACCTCCCCCCCCCCCCTTAAAAGCATATAAAAGTACTCATAAAACATTTAAAAGTGTGAGATATAGGGGTATGAACTCACTTGAAAGATCGGAGGAGACGGGATGAAAACCGGAGAGAATTTCAACTCGAGAAAGCGGATTTTCTCGGGATTCTCGGGAGCACAAACGACCTTCGGGACTTGAGCAAAGTGATCGGGGCTTCGGGGTAGCACGGGCATGAAAAACGAGGCAATAACGCAAGAGAAATGAGAGAAATGGTGCCTTTTCTTTGGAACCCTCGCATCCCTTTTATAGGGGCTGGGAACCGACCTCGTACGCTCGGCGTACGCGTGCGTCACGCATGACCGAATCCTCGACTGCCTCGGAGCTCGGATGGGACGGGGCATAGCCTCGCATAGGGCGCGACGTGGACGATCCGAGGCCAAGGCCTCGCGTACGCTGGGCGTAACTCGGCCCAATCTGATGACTCGCCTTCGGATAATACCAAGGTTTATAATTAAAATTTATATTTTAATTATTTAACAAACTTCAAAAATTCATATCTTCTTCATACGAACTCCCTTTTCGACGTTCTTTATATCCACGCGAAGGTGAGACCATACTCTACAACTTTCGTTTAGATCCCGTCGGCAAAATTTGAAATTATTTTTATTATTTATTTTTAAAAGGTCGCGGTAAGAAAATTTCTTTAGAAATTTATAACTTCTTTATCTGACGTCAGTTTTTGCCAGACTTTTTACCGATGAAATACCATTGTCGAGATCTTCGATTCTCGTTTAGGTCATTCCGGCCAAAAGTTGCTCGATCTCCGATTCGAGTTTTTAGCCGTCTGTCGTTAAGCCGAACTTGGAAAATTTCTAACTTTCTTATACGAAGTCGAGTTTGGGCGTTCTTTTTCCGTACGATCACGGTTTAATGACATCTAACATAATAAGTAATTTAATTAGTGATTTTTGGATTTTTATTTTCGAAGTAAATTTTTATTATAACGAACATTGTTACAATACTTGACTTTTTAGGTCGTTTACATATAGTTGAAATATCAGGTTGTCACAATATGAGACGAATCTTTCTGATGATCAGCTTCCGGTGTCTCTAGAATTGTTTCATTTTCATCAGCAGTAGACTCCGACGAAATAATCACCCTACCCTTCTTCTTATCGATATGTGTTTGGCCATTTGGTGCCCTTTTCTTCTTAGAAGACGGTGAAGCAGGAGCAAAAATGTCACGAAGAATAACTCCTAAAGGTAAGCGACTCTTATGCTTTGACTTCATCTTGATTCTTCGAAAAACCCCAGTCTTCGAAGGAATGATTTCCTTTTGAGTCGAAGGGGTATCAACAACAACAATTTCTGGTTGTATTGGCACGACTTCGATAACTGGTAATTTCTTCGGACTCTTTATGGATGTAGATTCTTTGATAGATTTCTTAGAAGATTAAGCAACAACCTTCTTCGAACGTTTAGTCTTCTTTTCTTCTTCTCTGGCCAAAAAAACCCCAGTTCCAACAGAAGTATCAATTGTTTGAAAGTAAGTGATGAGAACGGTGTTTGTGGGATCAACTCTTTTCAGCATAGCATCTGGAACGCGAGCAACAAATGGAAATTCGTCAGTATCATCAACTGCATCCTTCAGACAACTATAAATATGAAACACAAACTTTTCTTCATCTGCCCGAACCAAAATCCCTTCCTAATCATAAAAATATTGCAAAATTAAACTACAATATTGAGCACACGGAAATGCCATGAATAGCATTCGTGTTTTGTATACTCTTCAAAAACTCCTTCCATAATTAAGTAGAATAATCAACCTGAAGATTGTAGTATAGACCTGCAACCATCTAATAAACTTCCATCCGTCCCTTATCCAACCCAACAGTTCTTCCGGTCAAGCATCTAAGAAAAATGCCGAACAAAAAATTCCAAACACTCAGAAGTCCTGATTTCTTGAAATCACTGATCTTTGCCAATTGGGGTTGATGACCCATTTCATTGAACATGTGGACAATTTATGGGAATGTAAAAGTGACCTATGGCGGAGAATTAGGTATCTCGAGAATTTGACAGAAAAGCTTCTTTGAAAGTCTAACCTTCTTATCAGTCATAAGATTAAACAACACTGCATCCAAGGCTTTAGAGTAAGTTGCTGTTGATCCAGCTTGAGACAACCATGATAGAGGAACAGAGAATAAGTTTAACATAGCTTTTGATAATACGGAACTTTTCAGAGCAACAATAAGCATTTTCAGTTCTTCAGGATAGTGAGAGACGTTTGCTTCAACTTGATAATATGTTCCTTGAATCTTCATTATCAGCAATGAGGTTACATCATCGGTGGTGTGAGACAAAGTTGCATCAGGATTAGCAGTCACCATTGTTAGGGTTTGAGAGTTGGATGTTTATCATAGAAAATTTGGGAATATGAAAGCGTAAAGTGATAATGAACCATTGAATCCCCTTTTATATGCAACGCTGAATTTTGAAATCAAAGCGAGATAAGTATTTAATGATCTGTGATGTGTCACCGACAAAACCGCATCATGATGATGAAAAAGTAACCATGCGTGATAAAGTAACTATCACGTCTTCTCAAAACCCACACAGAATTCCAACAATCCTTTCAAACAACCGGGATTGTCTGCCCCAATAGAATAGTAACCATCAGAACCCTTCAGATGGAGTCAAGGCTCTTTTACTTTATGGTTTAAAACTAAAGTCATTTGCCAGATTTTTGAAATCATCAACCTGAGTTGGTATCTCTCAGAAACTCAAGGATTTCGTGTGTGTCAAGTGTGAAAGAATAAACATAAGAAGCAATTAAAAAAATTTTGGATAGTCAGTGATGTCAAAATTTTAATTTGACACGAAGCCAGTTAAAACCCCGAGCAAAGATTGTTTTGTTGATTATCAAGAGAGATAATAAACAACTTGTGTCTTTTCCCGTGAATTACAATCAAATACTTGTAAATAAGTATCGCATGGCTTCTTTTAAAAGGCTTTTGATGTAGCACCTGGTTCTTGGTATGTATTCTTTTAATTATATTTTTGCATTTTGGCCTTGGACTCGGCGAGTTGAAGGACCAACTCGTCGAGTAGAAGCAAGATGAGATGCAGGGTTTAAGCTGTGGACTCACTGAGTCGGGTCCCGGACTCAGCGAGTAGGCTCTGTCTGGACAAAAACCCTAACCCGAGGGTTTGCACCCTATTTAAACACCTTAACTTAGCCTCCTTCGTCCCATTTGCTCCCAAAAGACCCCCATAGCAAACCATAGCCGTTATTGAAGCAATCTAAGGCATTTGGAGCGATTTTGGTGCTTTTATGACCCAAGGAAGGAAGGAAAAGCTTGAAGGATCAAGAGGAGGCTAGAAGGATCCGATTTTGAGCATCATTTGTAGTTTACAGAAGGTATAAAGCCTATACCTTGTTTGTTCTTTTGATAGATCCCATTTTGTGGATTTTTAGGGCTTTTCTAAGCCATTTTGGTCACCAACCATGATTGCAAGCATGGTTAGGGGTTGATGTTTCAGATCTAGGCCCTTAGAGGGGTTACAAGGCATAAAGGAGTGGCTCTTAAACTCAAAGAAGGCCCCATGCATTGTAAGAGATTGTTTTAGGACCTTTTGAGCTCAAAGTCCCATGCAAGTACGTAAAGGTTGTAACGTTACGTGCTAGATCGATTGTAAAAGCACATATCTATCTTTTGATCAAGGGTTGTACATCAGAAATTGAAGATTTAGTGAGAGGATGTGACCAACTCGACGAGTCTATTCTTGGACTCGGCGAGTCCAAGATTTCTGTCCCATATCAGTTGAGGGTCATAAGGACCCAGTTGAGTGTGGAAAGGTTTTAGGGGGATCTCGAGGAGTCACCCAACGTTCTGGACTAAACCATTGTTTTGGAAGTTCATGGGACTCGGTGAGTGCGTGAGCAGACTCGGAAAGTCCAAGGCAAACTTCTTAAGGACAAAGATAAACTCGATGAGTTGTTCATGCAACTCAGCGAGTCAAGGACAGAACTTGTGTATTAGTTGAAGATGAACTCGATGAGTTGTTCATACAACTTGGCGAGTCAGATAAGGATTCAGTCGATGTTCTTTTAGAAGGAAGACTCATCGAGTCATCGCCTAACTCGATGAGTAGAGACGGGTATAAGGACAAATGGAAAGATAGGGACCCGGCGAGTTGGCAAGCCAACTCGGCGAGTCAGGTCAACTAGAAGTTGACTTTAACTAAGATTTGGTTAGGGGTAAAATGGTCATTTTACCCTAAGAACAATTAGCAGTGTATGACTAAGTGTTTTGTGGGAATTATAGTCGGAGGATATCCGGATCAGTAGCGGCTGCAGTCAAAGGATTCCCGCATCGATCAGCAGTTACTACGAGGTGAGTTACCTTCCACTAGCGGTGGGTCTACGGCCACAATGTCGGCCCACCAGTAGGAGTTTTATGATTAGATGATTGTCTTTGTGATACCATCTAGGTTTGCTACTGCCTAATATGTTATATGCTGGCATGATATGTTATATATGTTGATAGTAGAGTTCGGTTTTTAGGACCGAAGGGTAGGTCAGACACCCCAGATATGTCTTATAATATGTGTTGATATGTTTATATGCTGGCATGATATGTTATATGTGATAGCAGTAATAGGAGGGGAATAGTCCCCAAGTTCGGTTGTTAGGACTGAAGGGTAGTTTGGACACCCCATATATGTCTGATAGTATGTTTATGTTATGATATATGTGATAGTAGTCATAAGGGGTGGAATAGTCCCCGAGGGTCGGTTGTTAGGACCGATGGGTAGGTCAGTACCCCAGAATGGCTTGACATGGGTAGGACAGCACCCCATAATGGCCGCCTGGGTAGTACGGCACCCCAGAATGGCCGCATGGGTAGGTTGGCACCCCAGAATGGTCGTACCGGGTAGGTCAGGCACCCTAGAATTTCCCGGCAGTATGTACGCTATGTGATTGTATGGTATGTGGTACGATGGGGGAACTCACTAAGCTTCATGCTCACAGTTTATAGTTTTGGTTTCAGGTACCTCTTCAGCGAAGGGGAAGGAGCTGGCGCGGTAGATGCACATCATACACACACTCTTTGTTTTCCGCATTATGAGTTATTCTGGGATTTGTACTCTGACATTATTATTCTTTTACGATTCGGTTTTCAGATACGAGACATGTTTTTATTAAATAATATGATGGGTTGATAATTTGATACAAAGGTTGTGCAAATCACTTAATCAAAATGAAATCTTTTTGGTCGTGAAAATTGGGTCGTTACATTTGAGGAGGTTTAATGAATTTCGTTACATATCAACCTAAACATAAGGTGAGTAATTGTAACAAAAATTACTTGACCAATGTAGTCATTGACAAGTTTGCTTTGAAAAACTTTTAAGAAACATGGAATTTCAGATAAAACTCACACTAAAATCATATTCAAGAAAAAAAAAATTGTATTGTGGATCCTGTTGGGTAACAAACATCATGGGTTTCGAACGTTTGATCAAGATCTCGCATAAGAAATGAATATGATTTGGAGTTTCGAACGAAGGTACAGAAACAAATGTTTCGTTAAAATCTGGAACTAAGTTCCCCATCAATTCCTTAAAGTTTAATTGAATTGGGTTTCACATCCATCACGGTCTCATGATGTCTGATCATAAACACAAATTTTTGATATATCTAAGTTTCGATTGGCTTGATCAGAAACCTCTTGGACATATGTCTTCGTGTGTGATAGTGTAAGAACATTGAGATGAAAAAGATTGGTATATGAAGGAACATGTACCTCTTTTGTTTAGGACCAAACAGTAAACTCTTAACTCATGTGAGAACAGTAAGGTAGCTTATTGAACTAATGCGAATGTAATCCTCATTGGGAAGAAATCTTCGTATGAAAATTTCATTAAGGCTTTCAAACATTGAGTCATTTCGAGGCTTCGGACAACATGCGGCAGCATGCATCTAGGGACATCTTAACTAGTAAAAAATTTGAAATTCAAAGAATATAATGATAAATGTACCTCGCCCTAGAACTTTAAGCATTATCCTCTTTGTATCTTCATGAAAATCTGCAACATAATACTTAAAAAGAAAGAAGAAACAAAATCTTTTTGTTGTTTTTGATTTTTCAAAAATTAAGAACAAAATAATAAGAAAATCTTTTTGATGTTTTTGATTTTTCAAAAATTAAGAACATAACAATTAAAAGTACTTGTTGCAACTTGCAAATATTCAAAGTTTTATCAAGCTAATAAAAATACCAATCATACGAATTCGAAGCATTCGAAGAGTTGACTGTGAACAGTAACTTTTGAACACTTAATGATTTTTCTTTGTCGTTTTCTTGTAATAACTCTTTTTCTATTTCGCATGGAATTGAATTTCCATCAATCATTCCCAATCCTTCGAAAATTCATACAAACGATTTTTCATTCAAAGCTTTTGTGAAAATATCAGCCAACTGATCCGTTGTTATCACAAAACGTACTTCAATATTTCCTTCCTCCACATTATCTTTGATGAAGTGATAACGAAGAGCTATATGTTTAGTCTTTGAATGTTGCACAGGATTATGACAAATTCTTATTGCACTTTGTGAATCACAATATAAAGGAATCATTTTCATGTTAATTGCATAATCACGTAATTGACTTTGAATCCATATTATCTGTGAAGTACATGCAGCTGCATCAACATATTCAGCTTCAGCCGTTGAGATTGAAACACGTGTCTGCTTTTTCGATTGCCAGCTCACTAACTTACCATTGAGTAATTGACATCCTCCACTTGTGCTTTTCCTGTCAAGATTACAACCTCCCAAATTTGCATCCGAATATGCTTGAACAAAGAACCCTATATTCAAAGAATACCACAATCCTAGCAAAGGAGTTCCTTTGAGATAACGAAATATATTCTTTACAGTAGTGAGATGTGGTTCTCATGGATTTGCTTGATACCTAGCACAATTACATACAGAAAACATGATATCAGGTCTACTAGCAGTTAAATATAGTAAAGATCCAATCATGCTTCTGTATAAAGTAAGATCAACTGCAGGTTTATCTAATGAAGGAGTTAGTTTGATCCCAGTTGCCATTGGAACGCGTAACTTTGTGCTATTCGTTAACCCAAACTTCTCTAGCAGATTCTTCGTATATTTTTCTTGATTAATGAAGATTCCTTCTCTACTTTGATGAACGTTTAAACCAAGAAAATTATTAATTTTTCCCATCATGCTCATTTCGAACTTACTTTTCATCAAGTCTTTGAACTCTTTAGACAAAGCAGGGTCAGTTGAGCCAAATATAATATCATCAACTTAAATTTGAACAAGCATAAGATGATTCCCAACTTTCTTATGAAATAATTTGGGGTCAACTGATCCTTGTTTAAATTTAGATTGCTTAAAAAATGAAGTAACAGTTGCACACCAGGCTCATGGTGCTTGTTTCAAACCATAAACTGCCTTATCTAAGATATAAATATAATCAGGATATTCTTCGTTAACAAAACTTGGAGGTTGTTCCACATAGACAGTTTCTTCGAGCTCTCCATTCAGAAATGCACACTTCACATCCATTTGATAAACATCAAAGTGCTTGTGAGTTGCATAAGCCAAAAATATATGAACCGCCTCGAGTCTTGCGACATGGGCAAAAGTTTACTTGTAATCAATTCCTTCTTGTTAAGAGTACCCCATAACAACAAGTTTGGCTTTGTTTCGAATGATATTTCCGTCTTTGACAGCTTTATGTTTGAAAATCCATTTTAACCCGACAATCGAAACATCATTTGGCTTAGGAATTAATCTCCAAACCTTATTTCTTTCAAATTCAGACAATTCAGATTGCATTGCAACAACCCAATCTGAGTGTTTCATTGCAATCTTTATTGTCTTTGGTTCAATTTCAGAGATAAAAACATTGAACATGCAAAACTCATGATGGGTATTTAATATCTCATTCTTTGCACGAATTTGATCCCTTGTTAAAACTCCCTCTTGTGGATTACCAATTATTTGTTTCTTCGGATGATCTTTTGTCCATTTGTCCATCGGTGGATAAGCTGGATCAAAGTCCAAAGGGGCGTCTTCGTACAATTCATCATTATCTGAACATGCAATTGAACAAACATCACTAACATCATGATAATTTTCATTATTTTGTAATAGCTCTTCCTCAACATTAGCAATTAATCTCTCCCCCTCAACATCATCATTATCTCTCTCATTCTCCCCCTCAAAAGCATGCTCCCCCTCCATCAGAGTTTTCGAATCCAAATGTTCCCCCTCCATTGGATCATTTTTCATACGTTCGCCTATCTCTTGAGGAGATGATGTTGAATCATCAGTAAGCTTTGAAAGTTCAAGGATATGATTATTAGGAGAGTTTTCTTCAGCATTTCCAGCATGATCTGAAATTCCAAATATCAAATCATAATCAATATCCAACATTTGCATTGGTTCAGATTCATCTTGATTTTCTTTCAAAATTGGAAGATTTTGAAATTGTTGTGTAGATTGTTTGATATAATAATCATCAAATGCAAGATTAAAAGTTTCTTCCACTTTTTTTTGTACGCTTGTTCAAGACACGATATGCCACTAAATTATGCGAATACCACATGAAAATCCACTAAATTATCCCTAAGATTCATAATAAAACACCTGCATCCGAAGACATGAAAGAATTCTACATTAGGTTTCCGATTATTTAGAATTTTGTAAGGTGTAACATAAAAATTTCGATGAATGAAAGATCTATTCTGAGTAAAACAGGCAGTGGATACAGCCTCAGCCCAAAGATATTGTGGTAAGTTCGCATATGCCAACATAGTCCTTGCAGCTTCGCATAAAGATCGATTTCTTCGTTCAACAACACCATTCTGCTGCGGAGTGTATGGAGAAGAAAAATTATGTGAAATGCCTTTATCCACTAAAAATGAATCAAGAAAATTGTTCTTAAACTCAGTTCCATGATCACTCTTGATTTTGCGAACAAGCTTTTTCAAGGTTATTTCCATTTTCTTGATAAAATCGATCATGATTTGTGCCACTTCGGATTTTAATCTGAGAAAATAAACTCGTGTGAATCTGGAAAAATCATCAACAATAACTAAGATATACCATTTGTTGTTGAGTGTTGAGACTGTCGAAGGATCACATAAATCAATATGTAAAAGCTCCAGTGGTTCGACAATCTTTGAATCAATTGTGATCGGATGACCTTGTTTATGTTGCTTGCCAACTTCACAAGCTGCACATAAAGAATCATTAGCAAATTTAAGTACATGTAAACCTCCTACCAAATCTTGCACAACAAGTTTGTTGATATTTCGAAAGTTAAGATGTGAAAGTCTTCGATGCCATAGTCAGCTAAGAACTGATGTAGCTTTCGAAAGAATACGTACAACAGGTTTACCCCACAATTGGATTGATGTCCAAAGTAAACATGTCACCCTTCCGTTTGGATTTAAGCAAAACTTCTTTTTTGTAAACATTCGATATAATGCTTCCTTCTTCGTTAAAATGTACTTGATTTCCAGTGTCTTCCACAAGTTGTGATACACTTATCAATTTGTGTTGTAAACCTTCGACATAAGCAACTCGATTCACTGTGAATTGACCATTCGTTATTTTCCCATATCCTTTGACTTGACACTTTTGATTATTACAAAACTTAACAACTCCAGCATTTTTCAAGCTTCGAAAGTCTCTAAGATTCTCCTTCTTCCCCAATCATGTGATGAGAGCAACCACTATCGATGTACCATATATTATCATATTGCTCGTCGCAAAGTACCTCCGATCATTGAAAGAATTTAGGTACCCAAGCCTTTTTGGGTTCTTGGAAATTAGATTTTAACAAAGATTTGAAAGAATAACTATTGACTAAATCACAAACTTTAGTTTTGAGACTATTAATAATGTCCACATCTTCATTTGTAGGGATTGAAACATAAGGTTTTGCTTGTTTCGTATGTATACTAACATCACCCTTCGTATTCTAAGTTTGTGATTGTTCGGTCTTCGCTTTTGTGACTGGTTTCCATGCTTTTACCAAGACATTCGAATCATTTAATGACGAACTTCCATTTGAAGAAGTATTTACATACTTTTCATAAGCTTCGTTGATTTGATCTTTTGAATATTTACTTGATTGATAAATTCTTTCTCTTTCTTCGAGCCAGTGATCAATATTCTTTCGTGATGTTATCCCTTTTTCATGCAAAGCTTTCAATGTTTGTTTCTTCGTATGATTATGAAAATTGGCTTTTGAGGAACAAAATCAATTTTTGGTTTTGAAACAAATGATTCATCATAGGAAGTATCAACTGTTGATTTAAAATGTTGAAGTTGAGAAAAAAAAACTTTGGTGGATTAGAATTCAATGAATTATCTGAAATCTTGCCTGAAATGTTAGGTTTTGACACTTTCGAAAACTTTGGTGTTGTTTTCACTTAAAACTTAGTATGAGTTTTTGGACGATAAACTTGTTCTACTTTTGAAAAACATGAATTTTTCACTTTGAAAATCTATTTTGGTGATTTTGATTCAGACACATTTTTGCTTGAATGAGCAGGATTTTCTTTTTGTCTGAATAATTGTCTGAATTCATAGACTTAACTGGTTTCGACAATGCAGTTGACGTTTTTCGAGACCCGATTGTTTGCCAATATATTTTCTTTCTTGCTTGTCTTTTTGAAACATTATTTTCTTTCGAAAAATTTTCAAGTTTTTCTTTGAATTCTTTTGAATTTAATTTGACCCCACTTTTCGTTTCCTCAAAAATTGGTTTGGTGACTTCTTTCTCAAGTTTTGATTTTTCAACCCATTTTCTTTGAGATTTTTTTCTTTGGAAAACATATGAATTTTTCGTTAGGTTGTTTTCAACTGTGCTTTGATTTGCGATGAACCCTTCATCTGATGTTTTCAAATTGTCTTGTTCCACCAATTTCTTGAATTCTAGTTTGACATTTTCGATGTTTCGTGTTGTTACAAACACTTGGTTTGGAAACACAACATCATCTGTGCAGTTAAAAAATTGGATACACCACAGTATTTGTTTCAAGGTAATGAGCACCTTGTTCTTTCAACACTTTTTCATACTTTTGTGTATCACCATACACCTGGTCAACTACAATTCGAGGAATTTCTTCATCCTTTGAAGGCAATAACTTTCTATGTTGTTCTTTACTTATCTCCCAGGAATGATGTAACTCTGTTAATTTCCCATACAACCTTTTACCTGAATTACAGTAAATCTTTCTTTGTGCTAACAACAATTTTATTTCACTTGACAAATTATCCCTATCAACCATAATGTTTGTAATATGAAGTTCTAAACAATCTACTTTAGTGTTTTTCAAATCTAACTTCTTATCTGTCTCTAACAACTGCATGGAAAGCTTCTTAGCCTCATTGCTAGCAGACACAACAATTGAATCAAAATAAGTAACAGTTTCATCAAAATATACTAATTCATAATTATAATCATGTATTGGGATATTAAAAGATTCAAGAATGTTACGTACCTTTGTTGTCATTGCAGATTTGTCTGGAACCATTGATACAAAGCATCTTCCTTTTACTTCGTATTCTTCCTCAAAAGATTCCTCCTCCATCTTCGCGAACATTGCTCCATGTGTTGGATTTCGCATATCCTCATCATCTGATCCAGATGACCATACATGATAAGTTCCATCATCTTCTTGTTCTCCCATGGAAACCAATGACAAGTTTTTCGCCTTCGCACGAACCTCTTCCAGTCTTTTAGCATACTAAGCTTCATCTTTTACATTATTCTTCTTCTCATCTTTCTTCCTCAACATGCAATCATTGGCTAGATGATTAGCCCCATTACAGTAGTGACAATCTACTCCAGTGTCACACCCCAAAACCTAGGAACGGCGGAAACGTTCTGGGGCGGAGGACGTCATGTTTAATATCAACAACAATGTAAAGTAGTAAACAAGCAGCAACATCATCCATTACATTAATAATATAATTATTATACAAATGTGTTCTGTTAAATTTTGATAAACACTAAAGCATAAATCAAAATGAAAGATAAGTCATGAACAAGCTCCATCTTCCTTTCTCCTTGCATCGGTACCTGTCTATGATGACCTGAGGATACAAGTAATTTTGAAAGCGAGTATCAGCTTTAAAGCTGGTTAGATCATAAGTATTTAGCGTCTTAATTTTAATGTAAGAATGCGTAAGTACATGTATTGTAAGTATTGAAAGTGTATATGAACTGTAAGTTTTTGAAAAACCCTAGAATCCCTATGATTCCTATTAGTAACAAAAGGAGTCTTCTACCAAGACCTAACTGTTCTGAATGTAGTCTTCTACCAAGACCTAACTGTTCTGAATGTAGTCTTCTACCAAGACCCAACTGTTCTGTGTGTGTGTGTCTCTTGTAAGAGGATGTATTTTCCAAAGTATAACTATCATTATTCAAAAATATAGTTTGTACATTAATGTTTAAGTGAGGTTATCACTAAAAATATGTAATGGAAAATCAATGTAGTACTATGGTGTAGTGCCGAACTACAACCGTACCTATTACCTTAAATCTAGGGTAATACTTCCAAGTACTGTAGTATTTAATAAAGATAACTACATCGGTACTCAACTGCCTTATTTGAGGGATAAGGTATAATGTGATGTCTAGATCCCAGACTATACGCTCCCCTATCAAAGGGATTTTGGGACCTACCCACGACACCTGCATGAACGCAAGCCGTGAGCATCCACATTACCGAATGATCATGTATACTCGATATAACTATCACAATTGTGGTGTGATTCATCAGTATAGTTAGATCCTGAACTGGTTCCGTGCTATAGCACCTAGTGACGTATGTTCTATGTATATGTAAGTGTACTCATGTAAGTGTGATCATGTAATTGTACTCAAGTAAGAGCGATCATGTAATAGTACAGTAGTGTACTGTAATGTTCTACATGTGCTAGCTGTAATGTGTGTTCTCTCTATCTAGCAAGTATTGTAATGTAATCGTTCTAGTATAGTTGTATATGTTCTCATCCTAGTATAGTTGTATATGTATTGTATTGAAATGTTCTAGGAAGTATTGACTCATGAATGAACTGACTCATTGTATGATATCGCGTTCTAGTAATGGTTCTAGTATCTTCCTGAACTACCCATATGGTAGCTTTCTAGTAATCTAAGTGGTACGTATGGACATGGATGTATACCCTTGCTACCCAAGGGCATATGTTGAACTGAAGGACCTTTTATGACTATATATGTACACATGATATATAACTAATATTTAAACGACCTTCGGACGAATACCCAATATCCCACCAGACCACATCTCAAGGCGCGAAAAGGAAATAGGGTGGATAGCCTTCCTAAGTCTTTTAAACATTTCTTATATAACTATACATATAGAGGCATGCAATTTATAATATAAAAGCATAAATAA